GAGCTGTAGCTCAAAGTGGTAGAAAACTAACCTTGAACAAAAGAGCTCAAAGATAGCACCCAGGCCATGAGTTCAAGCCCCGTGACTGACAGGAGGGAAAACAACAACAACAACAACAACAAATCTTTTCTGCAATGGTGGCTCATGCCTATAGTCCTACTTATTCTGGAGGCTGAGATCTAAGGATGGTGGTTTATTTATTTTTGGTTTTTTTTTGGGGGGGGTCCAGTCATGGGGCCTGAACTCTGGGCCTGGGTGCTGTCCCTCAGCTCTTCAGCTCAATGCTAGTGCTCTACCACCTGAGCCACAGCACCACTTCCAGCTTTTTTCCTTTTTGCTTATGTGGTGCTGAGGAATTGAACCCAGGGCCTCATGCATGCAAGGCAAGCACTCTACCACTGAGCCACCTCCCAGCCCCTAAGGATGGTGGTTTAAAGCCAGCCCTGGAAGAAATGTCCATGAGACTTTTCTCTCCAATTAACCACCAAAAAGCTAGAAGTTGGGCTATGTCTGAAGCAGTAGAGTGCTAGCCTTGAAAAAAATAAAAAAGCCCAGGACCAGCTCAGCACCAACATCCAGCCCTTACTTCAAGCTGCATGACTGGAGCACGCACACGCACCTACACAAAAAATCCTTCTCACATATTCTCTGACAAAATATTTTCTCTTTTGGGCAGATAAGATGAAGTGGTTTCTGTTTTTTGGACTTGTTTTGTTTTGTTTGTTACCAAGACTTGAATGCAGAGGGTTAGCTTCTGGACCTTCTTACTCATAGCTGGTACTCTATCACATGAGCCATGCCTCTAAAATAGCATTTTGCTGGTACTTGGACTTTGTGCCTCTCTTTTTCTTCCAGGTCTCAGACTCTGGAGTAGCTAAGATTTCAGCCATGAGACACTGGTGCCTCATTGTTTTGTTTTTGAGACAGAGATTTGCTTCAAAGCCCAGATTGGCCTCAAACTAGCCAATCCTATTGTCTCAGCCTCCTAACTGATGGGTTTACAAGCTTGTACCACTATACCCAGCACTGTTTTTGCTGTTTTCACCATTGCAATAGCAGATAATTAGCAGATCAAACGCTACATTTTTGCAGTGTATTATTTTTATGGTCATGTGATGAATTCAGTCCCTTTTATTTTCAGTTCCTTACTCCCATTGTCTGCTCACTTGAGTATTTTTAAAAATAATGAACTAAAAGGAGTTAATCTATGTTGACAGAATATTAGACATTGGTTAGATGGGGGAAGATTATTTGAGAGTGTGTGAGGCTTTCCCAAAGAACTTTAAATTGTATCATCTTTATAGGGTTCATTTCAATCTTTTTATGTAATGATCAGTAGTCACTATTAGCTAAGCCTGGGGTCAGGATGGACCTGACTTGTTGAAATAAATGTTTAATTTCAAGCCATCCTTGATTTAAACATGAGTTAGAATAATCCCTAAATATATGGGTTTGTAATGAATACCAATTGTGTGATTATCATGATGAGGATATAAAACTTCCCTAGACTTAAAGAATCACACACCTAAGCCGGGCGCTGGTGGCTCATGCCTGTAATCCTTGCTACTCAGGAGGCTGAGATCTGAGGATCAGGGTTCAAAGCCACCCGGGCAGGAAAGTCTGTGAGACTCTTCTCTCCAATAAACCACTAAAAAACCAGAAGTGGTTCTGTGGCTTAAGCAGTAGAGTGCTTGCCTTGAGCTGAAGAGCACAAGGACGGCACCCAAACTCAGAGTTCAAGCCCCATGACCGACAAAAAGAAAGAGAGAGAAAGGAAGAAAGAAAGAAAGAATCACATGCCTATTTACTGCACTCGCTTAATCGACATTTTTAAGACACAAATGAATTTCTTCAAATTATTCTGATACTTCTATAGGCTTAATCAACAGGCTGAATATGGGAAAACAAAGATAAAGTTTACAATTAGCCGCAAACTGATGCTCACCAATGACATCGCAAAACCTATACAACAAAGATTATATTTACTTCCAACAAGGGCAGTGCATTTCTTTCCTTGTATTGCATTTACTCAATATGAATTTATACCACAATTAAAAAGTTATAGGTTCCAAGCTCTTCTGGCTCATGCTTGTAATCCTAGCTACTCAGGAGACCAAGATTTGAGGGTTGTGGTTTAAAGCCAGCCTGGGGTAGGAAAGTCTGTGAGACTCTTATTTCCAATTAACCACAAAAAACGCTGAAAGTAGAACTCTGGCACAAGTGGCAGAGTGCTAGCATTAAGTGAAAAAGTTAAGGGACAGCACCTAGGTCCTGAGTTTAAGCCCTAAACTTTTTTAAGCCCAAAACTTTTTTTTTTACATTCAACTAAAAGTTTTTATGTATTTGGTTTATTTCATATGAGAAAAAAATCTTTGTATGCTAGTTGACTGCCCCAAATCATTAATTAGAATAGTTCTTACTACCCCTGAAAACACATGAAAAACAAATGTAACAACCTAAGAATACTAGCTGCTTTCTAACTTAAGTAGCAGAAGCAGGGCTGTCCACATCATACTCCTGACAAGTATACTATTTTAAAGGAGATGCTGGGAAGTGTCTATGACTGGTTTCTTCAAGGGCTCTTCAAATTGTTTGATCTTAGCTGGAAGACAAGTAATTGATATCAACCATCTACAAGGAAAGAATGAGGGAAAAGAGCTGGCAACATTTTGTTTAAGACTGGACTGGAGGATCGAGGTTCAAAGCCAGCCTGGCAGAAAATTCCATGAGACTCTTATCTCCAATTAGTCACCAATAAGATAGAAGCGGAGCTGTGGCTCAAGCAGTAGTCTCTCACCTCTCTGAACATTACGTTTCTTTTTTTGTGCCAATAGACTGCTTCTCACATGATTCTGGGCATGGGACCATCCAAAGATGTTGATTTCAGTCTCAGAGGCTGTCTTGACTATATTCACCAAGGCCTGGCTCATCCTTTTCATTTGGTAGAATATGGTCTAATTTAGACAAAGGTCTCATTTGCCAGCCAATCCTCAGTAGAAACCAAAGGGTGGCTCAGTTCCTATGTAAGAAATCACCAGGGACAGAAACAAACCTGGGATGGCAGAAGTGGGGCCCTAAGCAGCATCTCCAGTGTTGAAATAGATCAGTCTGAGCAGACACAATGTGGTCAGCCATGCTGGACCCAGGCCTAGAGGCACTCTGCAAACGCTCTGCAGAAATTTAATATTTAATGCAAAGAATGATTTTATAGGTAGGAGAAAAAATTGTATATTTTTCTGTAGATTGGAGTACAATTTGTAATTATATTTTGCAACTTTTTTTCCCCAAAGGAATTGAAGTTCTAAGTAAAACCCAAGATCTAGAAGTACAGGTATTTCCATCTAGGCTTTGTGGTCATGTTCATGAGCTTAAGCCTGGTGTCATTCCAGTTTTGCTCTGGATCTTTACAAACTTCTTGAAGCCATACATATATTCTCTCTTGTCCCCTTTTCTTGGTCGTATACGGTCTAGAAAGACTATGGAAAACCCCATTGATAAAAATGAAAACAAAGTAGGGTGTAAGGTTGCAGACACAAGTGGATTACCAACAAAACAACCAACGATTCTCTGATAAAAGGCAAGACTAATATGATTCTCCCCACAAGAACTCAATTGTTTTTAAAACTGCACTTGCACTTTCTTCCTTTTCTCTCCGCCCCACCCGCAGCTCTGGGGCTTGAACTCTGGGCCTGACCTGGATTGCCATTCTTGAGCTCCTTTTTATTTTTGCTCAAAACCTAGCACTCTACCACTTGAGCCACAGGGCCACTTCTGGCGGTGCCCCGGCCACCCCCCTCCCCTCCCCTCCTCCTCCTGTGTGTGTGTGTGTGTGATTATTTAGAGGTAAGAGCCTCAGACTTTCCTGCATTGGCTGGTTTTGAAACCACAACCCTCAATCCTCAGATCTCGGCCTACAAAGTAGCTAGGATTACAGGTGTTAGCCACTGTTACCCAACTATGAAGCACTTTCCTTTTAGTCATCTGAGCTTTTTTTTTTTCTGAAACTAAAATTCTATGGTATAGATACACACATATAATGATCTGATAATCTGGAAATACATAATATTTATATTTTAAAATGCACTAAGTGGGTCTGGGAATGTGGCTTAATGGTAAAGTGCTTGCCTAGCATGCATGAAGACCTTGGTTCGATTCCTCAGTACCGCCTAAACAGAAAAGGCTGGAAATGGGCGTGGCTCAAGTGGTAGAGGGTTAGCTTTGAGCAAAAGAAGCTCAGGGACCGTGCCCAGGCCCTGAGTTCAAGCCCCAGGACTGGCTTTAAAAATGCATTTAGGGGGCTGGGAAGGTGGCTCAGTGGTAGAGCGCTTGCCTTGCATGCCAGAGGCCCTGGGTTCGATTCCTCAGCACCACATAAGCAAAAAGAAAAAAGCCGGAAGTGGTGCTGTGGCTCAAGTGGTAGAGCGCTAGCCTTGAGCTGAAGAGCTGAGGGACAGCGCCCAGGCCCAGAGTTCAGGCTCCACAACCGGATCCCCCCCCCCCAAAAAATGCATTTAGTTCTGCTTAATCAGCTCGCTCATTCCTGAGTGTCTTCCTTAACGTAGTTCTCACTTGTGTCTTGCTGCTGTTGTTGTGCTGATCCTGGGGTTTGAACTCAGAGCACTTGAGCCATAGCTTCCTTTCTGGCTATCTGGGAGTTAGCGGGGAAACCTCAGGGGTTTTCCTTCCCAGGCTGACTTCGAACTGCTAGGCTAAGATTTCATCGCTTGAGCCACGGGAGCCCAGAATATCTCTTTAATGCAGGGCGTCTTCGATGCGGACTCCGTTTTTCGTTCAGAATGCCGAACGGGGCTGAGAGCCAGGCACGCCCCAGGAAAACACGACCGTAACCGGGGAGAACTAACCGCAAGCCACTCCCGGCAGCTTCCCGGGCAGCCCCGGAAGACCCCGCCCTACGCCGAGTTCCCGCGCGCAGCGGCGGCGCGACGGGGGAGGGCCGTGGCCGTAAAGCGCAAAGCAGCACCGCGCGACTGCGTGGCCACGTGACCTCGGGGGTTGCGCTCCGGGCGCCCTTGGAAGTCCTCACGCTGAGGGGGTCATGGCCGGTCCTGCTCGAGGCGGCGGGGCCCGGTCTCTCGATCTGCTCCGGGTGTTGCCTCGAGTGTCCCTGGCCAACTTGAAGCCCAATCCCGGCTCCAGGAAACCGGTAAACAGGCTGGTGGCGGTGCGGGGTTGTGGTGGATATCAGGGCAGCGCCTGCGGCCTGGCGGGCCCGGCCTGTCACGCCCGGCCCGAGGGTGGCGGGAACGGCTGTCCGGGCTGGAGCTGAGGCGGCCGCGGGCGTCCGAACCCAGCTCCCCTGCCCCGCGCCCCTGCCCCGCTCCCGCATGCGCATGAAGTGTATGTTTGGAGCGAACCCGCAGAAACCACAGAATGGTTTTCAAGTGCTTAGAGTCTTGATCGTCATAGTAAAGATCTGAATTGATTTACCGTCTACTGTCTTCTGAAACGCACCGGATGCAGGGCGAAAAGCTGTGCATTGTGAACGCGCTGTCATTGTAACAGATTTCACCTGCTTTCACGAAGCAGCAGGAACAAGGAAAAGCTTTACTTTGTGCAATAGAATTCAAGTAAAATAAAGCGGATAAAATTACATATTTACGATTTACTCCAAAGTAAAGCATTTTCTTGAATATCGTAAACTTTTGTTTATATTTATTCCTACAGTTGTAGGATTTCCCCCCAGCGCTTGCCTGCTACAGAACCCTTATTATTCCCGTCCCATCTATTGATTGAACTTTGTATTTGAAACACATCTTGTATTTAGTTGCCCAAGTTTGTAGCCACGTTTTCAGAGACAGATTCCAGTAGAGTGTGAGGATGGTTGAGCAGATAAAACGGTGCTTGGCACACAGCACCTGAAACCAGTTCTATTTGTATGAGCGGGAATAATAATAAAACGCAGTAAAGAGATTAAATACACTTTTGTAGAAATGTATCTGGAGATCCTAAAACTCTCTTCTTTCCTTTAGGAAAGACGTCCAAGAGGTCGAAGAAGAGGTAGGAAATGTGGCAGAGGCCATAAAGGAGAAAGGCAGAGAGGAACTCGACCCAGGCTGGGCTTTGAGGGAGGCCAGACACCATTTTACATTCGAATCCCAAAATACGGATTTAATGAAGGACATAGGTAAGGTTGCTACTTTTTAAAGGGCAAATTCCAAATTTCCACAGAGGATCACTTGTGAATTTGGTAGAAGTTTAAAATACACTTTGAAGAAAACTTAATACTGCTCCTCAGAGAGAGACTGTGTGTATGTGTATGTGTACACACATGCACGCATCTGTGTGCTTGAGCAGGATCTTGAACTCAGATCTTGTATTCTCCTTCAGCTTTCTTGTTCATAGCTGGCACACTACAGCTTCAGCTATGCCTCCAGCCCTATTTTTTTTTTTTGCTAGTTGAAAATAGAGTCTAGCAGACTTTTCTGTCTAGACTAGCTTTGAACTACCATCCTCAAGGTTTGAGTACTTAAGATCCCTTGTGAGCCACTATTACCTAGCCCTTTGAATCATTTTTGGTAACAAAATTTAGCTTGGATTAATGAAGGAAGAGAGAAGCCAAGATGTACTCAGTCCTGAAAAATGGACATGATAATGTTTAAGCTCATGTTTCTTTAGAGGGTTAGCAGTTAAGAAAATCTCTCCCTTTGTAGTCATCAAGTGAGTAATAGCTATTATTATTACTTTATGTTCCTTTACTAAGTCAAATAAATAGTTAAATTTTCCATAAATTTGTTTGCTTATTTGTGTATATGAGTAAATATATAGAGAGACAAATTAATGTTGGTGTAACAACAACAAAGGATATACTGATTTTTGTTACATGTTTGTATTGTACAGGTGGGTTTTATTTTAGTAAGCCGAAAAAGTGCTGAGGAAAACACAAAATAAAGCTCTGAGGTGATTTGCAGAACTTACAGGAATATTAATTTTTATTTTGTCACTTACATTCTTATTTCATAGCTTCAGACGCCAGTATCATCCTTTGAGTCTAAAGAGACTGCAGTATCTTATTGATTTGGGTCGAGTTGACCCAACGCAACCTATTGATCTAACCCAGCTTGTTAATGGAAGAGGTGTGACCATCCAGCCCTATAAGAGGGATTATGGGGTGCAGCTGGTTGAGGAGGTAAGTCTCTAGAAGATTTCTTGGTGTTAAATAGATACTTTAAAATTTTTTGTGTATAGCAGTCTGCCCATTTTCTATGGTGTAGCTATTCCCCAGCTCTGTATAACACGATATTCTTTACATTCATAACTGTAATACAGATTACTTTATAAATTAGGGACAGTTTGAGGTTAATATCAATTAGTTGACAAAGATCTTAGCAACCTCTGTATCTTCTCATAAGTGTCACTACTTAGTGACTACTTAGCTTTATGCTACATATACACTATTTAGCTTTGGGGTCATTATTAAATAAAATGAGAGCTACTCAAAGTCAAGCACTGTGATGCTGTAACAAACAAATGTAAATTTGGTAGGAAAAGGGATGATTGTTCTAGGCCAGACTGGGCAGGACAGTGTAAGATATCATCACACTACCCAGCAAGCAGTTTAAAATTTATAAAGGGCTGAGGTCTAGCACTTTCCTAGCTATATTAGGTTCAGTTGCTAATATTGAAAAAAGACAAGTAGAAATTATTTATTTCTGGAATTTTCCATTTGATCGTTTTGGACTATAATGGATCTTGAATATTGTAAGTATAGAAAGCAATCTGGGATTAAAGGGAAATTACTGTAATCAACACTCTACTAATTTTATTTTTATGCAGTAGGAGCTGTAAAGTGTGTTTTTCTCCTTCTTATTTTCCTTCCTTTTTTCTTTCCTTGCTTCTTTGCTTGCTTTAGTTATACAGAAGGGAATTTCACTGTTACATTTTCACATGTTTACAATATATTCCAGTCAAGCTTCTCCCCACTTATCACTTTCCCTTCCCAGAATAATTTAACAGATTTCCTTGTCTGTTTTTATAGTTACACAACTGTGGAGCTGTATCTTAATACAGCTTAATTTTTTGGGGGGTGGGGGGTCCGGTTGTGGGGCCTGAACTCTGGGCCTGGGCGATATCCCTCAGCTCTTCAGCTCAAGGCTAGCGCTCTGCCACTTGAGCCACAGCGCCACTTCTGGCTTTTTTCTTTTTGCTTATGTGGTGCTGAGGAATCGAACCCAGGGCCTCTGGCATGCAAGGCAAGGGCTCTACCACTGAGCCACCTTCCCAGCCCCAAGGAGCTGTATTAAGTACTGCATAGCAGTGATTGTTTACTTAATTATGCATTTAGACTGTTGACACTCTTTGGGTTTCTGTGTATCTTTCTAGCTTACTCCTTTACTTCTTTCGTTTTCTTCTCAATATCAGCATGTCAGGAATGATTTTTTTTTATAGCTTCTTATGAAAGAGCACCTTCCTGGTCCTTGTCACATTCTGTGCCTGCCTTACCTACCCCACCTATTTTTCTTTGAATAATGAACAGCTGACATTTATTATCAAATTAAGTTCCTGTGAGGGCAGGTACTTTTATTGCTATATTTTAAAATATTGGAAATATTAGCTCATATGATAGTCTTTGGTTAATATTTATGAGGGGAGAGAATGAACCAACTCCCATTCTAGCATCAGTTAAGAGTGTCCACTAGAGGGAAGTATGTGTTTATGGAAAACCTTTTAGATTACTTTGAAAAAGTACTACATTACTGTAGATGTTTGACACTTTTTTTAGTAACACTACTAAAGATTTATCATCAGCAAATCTCAAATTTCATTTTATGTACATTAACTTCTAGCTGCTTTTAGGGCCACAATTGCTTTTTTTTTCACAATTGCTTTTTGCAAGGCATATATTTACAAAATTATAATCTGAGAAACAGCAGGTAAAGACTGGCACAGCTCCTCTGCATCAACAGAGCTGGGTTTTTTTTGGGTTTTGTTTTTTTTTTTGTCGGTCATGGGACTTGAACTCTGGGCCTGGGCGCTGCCCCTTAGCTCTTCAGCTCAAGGCTAGTGCTCTGCCACTTGAGCCACAGTGCCACTTCTGTTTTTCTGAGTGGTTTATTGGAGATAAGAGTCTCATGGACTTTCCTGCCCGGGCTGGCTTTGAACCATGATCCTCAGATCTTAGCCTCCTGAGTAGCTAGGATTACAGGTGTGAGCCACCGTTACCTGGATGAGCTGTATGTTTTGTCTGGGAATTTAGAATTTTGGTTTTGACTTTTTGATCTCATGTCATTTACTTTAATTGGGCTGGTACTAGGCTTGAACTCATGACTGAATGCTTGATTTTTTTTTTTTTTTTCACTCAGATCTGGTGCTGTACCACTTCCATTGCTGGCTTTTATTTTCTGTTCAAGTGGAGATAAGAATCTCATAGTTTTGTCTTCCCTTGGCTGGCTCCCTGGTAGCTAAGATTGTAATAGGTATGAGCCACTGATGTCCAGCGTATTTATTATATTTTTTGACTACACTTATTCAAAACAATGTGTACTAAGTCTGGAAATAAGGCAATAGGCATGTTTTATGTGTGTGTGCTTGCTAGGCTGGTGCTTTACCATTTGAGCAACACTTCAGCTTTAGACATGTATCCTAATGTGGAAGAACCCATGAGTTCATCATCACTTAAATTATAACATCCTAATATACTTCAGATGTTAGTGAAAATTATCCTGCAAAGTCTACTGGAGTAATGATTGAGTAAATGCAATCACATCATTTATAGCTTTGAACCTTATTTATCTTTTCTGAATTTCAGATTTGTAAGTAGTGGATATCAAGACAGTGTTGATCAGCCAGTACAAGATAAACTTGGAAATATATATTGTCAAAGAAACCTTCCTAAAAATGCTATTTACAAATGCTGCAAATACTGGAACTGACACCAGTGTTCAAGAATAGGGTTACATTTAAGAGTCTATGGAGCAGTAATTAAAAAATCACAATTCACTGGACACTGGTGGTGCACATCTATAATCCTAGCTACTTGAGGCTGAGATTTGAGGATTGTGGTTTGAGTCCAGCCTGGGCAAGATAGTTTGTAAGACTCTTATCTCCAATAAGCTACCAAAAAAAAAAAAAGCTGCAAATGGGACTATGTGACTCAAGTGGTAAAGTCTTGGCTTTGAGCAAAAGAAGCACAGGGACAATCGCCATGTCCTAAGGATCAGAACAACAAAATAAATAAAAATCAGAATATGTCAAGGTCCCAATTTTTTAATCAAAGTTGTCCCTGATTATAAATATATATAACAATATCAGATACAAAAAATGTGAGAAAATGCATCTTAGATTCAGTGAAATATTTTGAAATACATTAACAATTTATAAAAGAAGGAACAAAAATGGAAAGTAGTTAGTTTTAAATATACCTAAATATAGGCAAGAAATGTCCTTGACCAAAAAGAGTGAAAATGCTGCTGTCTTCCTATTTTGAAGTAAATAAATCGGTTTTGAAAGTGGAGAAAAATTAGCCTCTTCTGTGACTGAAAACATAGCTTTAAAATTTTCAGTACTGTGTTTTCTGGTGTCAAATGTTCTAGGAAAAAGCATACTTACTCTTTTCCAGCCTCAGAGCTCATGTAAAATGAGTTCTGTTTTCTGCCTTTTTCCTTTCGGAGAGGGCTAACCCCTCTGAAGTACAGATAATTGTGTGATACTTTTGTTCTTCTACCTGGTCAACATCCTTTAGCCCCTCTAAACTCCTTGGACATAAAGATTAGTTGTTGTTTTTTTTTATCTATATTGTGTTCTATAATGTAGCTAAGAACATGATTGCTGCTGGGGGTATAGCTTAGTGATAGAGCACTGGCTTTGTATGTTTGAGGCTGGATTTGATCCCCACTCCTCAACATTGTAAATGAAGCAAAACAACCTACCTCAAAGCTATGACTCTCACTAGACTTCCTGGGTTAGAATCTTAACTGTGATGTTAGACAAATTATTCTGTGTTTGAGTGCTTTTATTTATGTAATGGTTACAAGGATTAACCAATCTATTATTAAATAAATAGGTAAAATAGTTCTGGAATAAATATGAAAATAGTTATTCTACACAGATTGAGAATTGGTAAAACAGAGTGGCCTAAAAAAATGTAGAAAAAAATGTGATAGAACCCTAAAACAGAGATATTTAAAAATAGGGGATTGCTAGTCAGGTGTAATGGCGCATGCCTATCTTTCTGGCTATGGAGGAGGCTGAGATCTAAGCATGGTGGTTCAGAGCTGGCCTAGTCAGCTTGGAAATGATCTTGGAAATCCAAGATCATCTCCAGTTAATCACCAAAAATCCAGAAGTAGAGCTTTGGCTCAAGTGGTAGAGCATTAACTGTGAGCAAAAAAAGCTCAGGGACAGCACCCAGGCCCTGAGTTCAAGCCTAAGTCTGGTACAAATAAGGGGATTGTTACTATATTATAGATAGCTTGGAGGGGAAACAATTTAAAAGAAGCTTGCTGTAATTATTTTTAGTCAAACACCTTACTAACCGATATCATTCTGACCTATGACAGGGTGCGGACACATTTCAGGCAAAAGTTAACATTGAAGTACAGTTGGCTTCAGAACTGGCCATCGCTGCAATTGAAAAAAATGGTGGTGTTGTTACTACAGCTTTCTATGATCCAATAAGTCTGGGTAAGCTTAATTGTTATCATTTCTTTTTCTCTCTCTGTTACCTATTAGTTGTTATTTTTTTTGGGGGGGGGGGCCAGGTTTGTATTTTGTTGCTGCCTTGGTCCTTAGGCATTTATGTCCTCAGTATGTAGTTTGTAACAGATAACTTCCATTCATTTCTCTCATAATTGAAAACTTAGTAAATATATTTACTAGTATAATTCTCATCTCTTTCTTAAGTATGATGGTCATTAAAGAGCCAATATTTACAGTTATTTATTTATTTTTAGGAATTCTGTGCAAGCCTATTCCATTCTTTCTGCGTGGACAACCCATTCCGAAACGAATGCTTCCACCTGAAGATCTGGTACTATATTACACAGATGCCAAGAACCGGGGTTACCTGGCAGACCCTGCCAAATTTCCTGAAGCAAGACTTGAACTTGCCAAGAAATATGGTTATGTTCTCCCTGATATCACTAAAGATGAACTCTTCAAAATGCTCAGTACGCGGAAGGATCCAAGGCAGATTTTCTTTGGTCTTGCTCCGGGATGGGTAGTGAATATGGCAGATAAGAAAATTCTTAAACCTACAGATGAGAATCTCCTTAAGTATTACAGCTCATGAATTCCCTCCAGGAAGGCAGTTATTGAAGAGTACCAGGAAAAGGACTGAACATCGGGTTTCTTACTGTGTTCTCCAAATGTGTCATCCTCCAGATAGTGGTGTATACTATTACTGTAATCATGGCTTTTTCATTTTCTCCTAAAATTAAAATAATTTTAAAGTGCAGAAGCAAGGACTGCACATAGGAACCAAATATGTGGGTTGTGTATCAAAGATTGAAATTCTGGTTGTCTATTGCAGAATGATTACAACTATTTTAGAATATTTCTGGTCCATTTTGTCATGATTTTTTTTTCCTCCAAGATTTGTCTTGTTATTGCTGTGAAGCAGAAAGAACAACACTGGCGAGTTAGATTGACTAACAGGCTGCTCAACCAAAGGTAGAGCAGCTGCTGGTAAGCTGTTGTTCTTTAATCAGCAGCCTAAGGAAGCTCAGCTACCCAGAACCCTCTCCTGGGAGGTTAGAGGAAAAACCATAAAATTATACTCAGTTTGCTTGGTTTTGAGATGGTATCTTGAACTCTTGGGCTCAAGTGATCCTCCTGCCTCAGCCTCCCAAATGCTGGGAAGTACAGGTGAACTGTACCATACCAGGCTTAAAGTCACTTGATATAAAAGACACAGGAACTAGTAAGCTTATTTGCTTTTTGGGGGTATGTTGTATTCACAGTTTAGGAAAGCTTAATTTACCATACTCATTAAAATTCATCTTGAATAATTCATGACAATCCTTCACAGTAGAAATAAAATGATTCCTGGCTAATTTTCTTGAAATAAAATGAAACATCTTAACTATGTAACTCTTTGTTAACTTTTCTCCATATACTCCTGACTTGGGATTGAGTTTACAATCTATTTTTCTGCCAAGAATGTGTTTGTTTGTTTGTATGTTTTGGCTTTAAAAAATTTTTTTTAATTGTGAAAATACATGGGTTACAATTACATGGGCAAGATAATAAGTACATTTCTTATCAAGCATTGTAGCCTCCTCCTTTGTTTCCCCTTCTCATCCCTTCCCATCCATGTGTTTCAGTTTTTATCCAGCATTTGTGTAATTTGGCTTGGTATAAACCATTATTGACCTAGAACTTAGCAAAAATCATTGGGATCATCTTTGACTGTCGAATATGAAATTGCAGAGGTTCCAGAGGAATTAAAAAACATTTTTCAAAGATCTCAAGTAACAGAGTTGGTGTGTTAGGGTTAGTTTTGGCTCCAGTGCTGGGAACAAGTCTAAGTGTTTGGATGAGCTATCATTCATTTTCTCTCACAGATAAGCACAAAGTGCTGAGCTGGCTGCTGCTTCTGTCCAGTGACTTCACTGCTCCCTAGGGGACTTCTTCCTGAGCTGCTGAGAGGTCCTGATTTTTGAGATTCAAATAAGGACCAGCAGGAGCAAGCCAGCTTTTTCTAAAAAGGTTCCTATATGCTGCCACACATATTTTCTCTTTATATCCCATCAGTCAGAGCTTGGAAACAGTCCTCTTGTGGAGTGGCCTGAGTTATTTTGATATCTCAGTCAAAAAATCCTTTTATGATAGATTAGTAAGATAATGAGCAAGGGTTTTTGGTACTGAATGATACTAAAATGATACAGGTTTTGGTACTGACTCTTTAACTCAGATGAATTGCATCTGGCAAACCCAGGAAATGTGCAGAATTCCTTAGTTCTGTATCTGCCATTGTGGAATGCTGTTTGTTTGATAAGTCATATAACCATAAATTGGTAAATTCATCCATGTTGGTATGCAAAGTATTTTCAAAGGAGAAGAGGGGAAAAGCATTGGAAATGTAAGACCTTTTTTCTGTATCTGTTTAAAAAACATTTTTGACAAATCATTTTATGTTTCCCCTACTGGGCATTTGGAAAGTTACTTTAAATATAACATAAGGGGTCGATTTACAAAGATTGCAAAGAATAATGCCAAGAAAGTACAAAGAAAAAAAAATATAGTCCATCATGGGGCTTGAACTCTGGGCCTGGGCACTGTCTCTATACTTTTTTGCTCAAGATTAGCACTCTACCATTTTGAGCCATAGCTTCACTTCTGGTATTCTGGTGGTAAACTGGAGATAAGACTTTCATGGACTTTCCTGCCTAGGCTGGCAGGAAATCCTCAGATTTCAGTCTCTTGAGTAGCTAGGATTACAAATGTGAGCTACTAGCACATAGCTAGAAGATATTTTTATTGGCTGTTAACTGAGTTCCTAGTAGTTGTTGATTACCCTTTTTTTTCTTAAAGTTCCTATGGGGGAAAAATCCTCAAAATCTTTTTTTAATACCAGGGCTTTAATTCAGGACCTTGCACTCTCAGTTTTCTTGCTCATGGCTGGAGCTCTATCACTTAGGCCATACCCCTAGCCTGTTTGCTCACTAATTTGGAGATGGTGTCTCAGATTCTGTACCCCTCACACCCGTTCCCTTTCTCACAGGCTCTTCAAACTATCCTCTAGATGTCAGCCTCCTAGTATTACAGCAATTAACCATGGTACCCAGATCCAAAAAACTTTGAATCAGAACAAAAGTAGTTCACAAAAGTAGTTCATGTTTATGAAACTTAGGTTTTAAAAGGAGCAAAGTCCCCCTTTTACTGGTGCCCATTCTTGACCTTCACAGAGGTAACTAAACCATGTAGATTGTTTGTCTAAATCAAATGCATAGATGATAAACTGGGTACCAGTGGCTGATTCCTGTAATTCTAGCTACTTAAAACAGATCTGGAGGATTGTGGCTTGAAGCCAGAAAAGTACCAGAGACAACTAAATGGCTGGAGTTGTGGCAACATGTGCCAAAAGAGCACCAGCCAAAGCATGCTCTGAGTTCAAACCCCAGAACTACCTATATATTCAGAACTTACTATATGTAGTTTATCTTTTATTTATTTGTATTTGGTGTTGGAGGTTGAGCCTAGGACCTCATGAGTGCTAAGCATACACTAAGCTGGTAATCTACACCTACTTTAAAGACACTTCCTGGATACTTTAAGAGTACTTCAACTGCTTTCTTATTCTGAAGCCATTTATGATTGAATACATTAGAAAAGTAAGTTATTTCACTTTTATTAAGCTGTGTAAAATACAGTAACTGTAAAGGTTATATAAAGGAAGTCTAGTCTCTTTCAATTATATACTTTTATTTATTTATTTTTTTGCTGTGCTGGGGATAGAACCCAGGGCCCCAGGTATGCCAGGCAATGCTTTAGCACTGTCCAGGCCACCAGCTACAATATCTTAGTCATAAAGATTTTTGCCTTGGGCCGAGAAAAACTTTGATCTCAATGATTTGCCTAGAATGAAGTTCCTTGTGGGCACCCATTGGTGACTGATGCTTATAATTGTAGCTGCTCAGGAGGCTGAGATCTAAATGATCATGGTACAAAGTCAGTGGGATCAGAAAAGTCTGTGTGACTCCAGCTTCAAAAATAACCAGCAAAAAGCAAGGCTGAAGTCAAGGCTCAAGTGGTAAGGCACCAACCTAGCAAGCAAGCTGAGCAAAAGTAAGGCCCTGAGTTCAGACCCTAGTACTGTCCCTCTTCCTCAAGACACAGGAATTCCCTTAACTTTAAACATCCTGTTCTATATAAAGTGGAAATAAGGTCAGAAGATACCGTATCTTGTGCCCTGGCCATGGGTAAGTTATGGCCTTACCTTATTAGGGCTGTAGGTTTTCCTTTTATGAAGCTATTTACAATTGTACTTCTGTGGGCTGTTCTGCCTCCACAGGAAAAGTAGTTCATGGGAAGTGAGGAGGAAATTAAGTCACTTAAAAGTAGACTGCTTTCTTCCCCTAATAGCCTTCCACCTCCAAATGTACTTGAGAGCTCTTGGATTTCCCTCCCCCATCCTCCCAAGTAGAATGACTAAGCTCTCCTGACAAGTCTTTGAAGGAAAAGGAGAGAGTCAAACAAGGCTTCTTGATTGTAGTTGTCTTTGGTGGCCTCCAGGTGGAAGGAAATCTGGGTTGAATGAGAAAGGGAAGAATGAAAACAGGAAACAGATGTCTGGTGATGTATAATGCTGGCTGGTTCTTATTTGGTGAGCAGGGATTTAGTCACCAACAGCTGTATCCTGGTTGTAGTGTTATAATCCTATAGATCATTCTCAGCCAAAACAGGCATGTTCCACAAAATCTGTCCATTTTGTTTAAAACAGCTCGAAGTTTGTTTAAACTATACAACAATGTTGGGCTCCAAGATATTCTTATTGGATTGTGCCCTTTGCAAGGATAATGGGGGGAGAGGGGACTGGTAACTCTATCTTAAAAGGTGACATTAGCTGGAAATCTTAAAGCAAGAAGGCCCCAGTCTAGACCTTAATAGTTTCCTGGTATGTGGCTTCAGCCGTTTTTAGACTGTCCAAGACCAAACAACAACAACAAAACCCTTGAGTTATTGTACAGTTTAAAAGATTCTAGAGAAATAATTGCTATAGATTTTCTATTTTTGAGTTCCCGGGTTTTGTTTTTTCCAATGTCAAGATGCTCTATTCTTTGGAAAACGAAGTGGTTCTGCTCTAATAGGGAAAATTGTATAGCAGGTGTCACTCAGTTTAGTGTGTATCAGAGAATGAAGTGTGCTCTCAGATGCTAAGACCAGTCACACAGTGGCTGTGTCTCTAGAGGCTGCGCTGTAGAGACAGAGCATAGGACAAGTAGCACAGCCTTCCCCAACACCACACCTGGGCTTGCAGTCACTAGCCATTTACCTGGGCTCAAAGCAGTGCCAACTGTATTCTGTTGATGTGTCATCTGTCTGTGCCTCAGTCTCACTCAGAAAATAATCATTGATCCTAACATACTTGGTTCTGATGGATTGAAAGAAGTCAGCGTAAAGCCTATAGTACAAGCTCCTGGCACACTAATAAAGTGCATCTATAAACATTTGGAAATTAAGTGTTTTGTATAGTTTTTATGTGGTAGCCATTCTATATATACTACTTCCTTTCTCCTTAAGATTTTTATATAGCATGGGTGCCAGTGGCTCACACTGGTAACCCTACCTACTTAGATAGCTGAGACCTGGAGGAACAGAGTTCAAAGCTGGCCTGATATTAGAAGTCTTTGACACTCCATCTTCAATTGACCAGCAAAATACCCAACTGTAGACATAGCTCAAGTGGTAGAATGCTTTGAGTTCAAGCCCTAGTACTGGCACAAAAAAGAAGGAAAAGATTTTTTCACAGTCTGTAGTCACCCTTTTATAAATTTTACTAGTATCTCACTAATGAGAAGAAATGAATATTTTTTTATATTTTTTTATTTTATTTGTGAAGATACTGTACAGAGGGGTTACAATTACATGGGCAGGATAATGCGTACATTTCTTACCAAGCATTGCAGCC